AAAATTCAGGGAGCTGGTAAGATGGCTCAGTGGTCTAAAGCACCTACTTAGAACAAGCTTAGCAAAGCACAGGGACCGCAGTTCAATCCCCCAGCACCACATGCCAGCCAGCCCTGCCCCCTGATGGGCTGAGCTGGCCACACACACACACACACACACACACAAATAAATAAATAAAATTTTAAAAAAAATTCAGCTGCACGGGGCCGGGGAGATGGCTTAGTAGAATAAGCGCTTCCCTGGCAAGCGCAAGGGTATGAGCTCAATCCCCAGTTCCGGAAAAAAAAAAAAAAAAAATTCAGTTGTACTTGTCACACTGCAAGTACACATGTGCTACATGTGGCTACTCTTCACTAGCCATATGTAGGGGACTGGATAGATACACAATGCTTTCATTGCCCCAGAAAGTTCTGTGTCAACACTGGCCTAAGGAAGCTGGTGGGGCACCAGGAGACCTTGGCTTTAGCTCCACAGCTGTCCTTCTAATTCACACTGAGGTTAGACAAGTCCCTCTGCTTCTCTGAGCCTCAGTTTCATCACTGGTACAGCCTGTCTTACATCTGTACAAGGCCAAGCCAGGCAGAGCTTCCCAAAGGCCTTTCTCTCTTTCTTCTTTCCTTCTTTCCTTTTTTTTTTTTTTTTTTTTCAGTACCAGGGATTGAACTCAGGACCTTATGTTTGCCAGGCAGGCAGGTATGCTACTGAGCTATATCCCCAGCCTTCAAAGACCTTTCAATTGATTCTGCCACTCACTGCTTTGGATAAGGCCCACGTGTGCCTGGGGAATCAGTTGGGCAGGTGGAATCTGCTTACACAGAGGCTGAGGGACCCGTCTGACCACCCTCAAGTTCCAGAAGGTCTGGTAAAAACAAAAACAAAAACAAAAACAAAAACAAAAACAGGGTCCAAAGCCTGCCCAGAGAGCCTCCCAGGAAGGCAGCCCTGCAGCGAACACAGCCCATGTGTATCTGTCCATTGGTTTTAACAGGTATGTGGGGGCCTTACCATGCCACACCAATTCTTCCTGGACAAGAAAAGACACAGACAGGGCCTGGGGGGAGAGGCAGCTGCAGGGGGTGGTCCGCAGGGGAGGGGAGGGGAGGAGTGGAGAGTGGAAAGTCAGAACTGCACTATCAGCACTGCCCGTCCTCCCCACTTCCTCTCTTCGAACGGATCACATCCTGTTATTGTGTGGACAGAGCAGGCCAGGAGCTGGGGAGAGAGGCAGGGCTTGGACCAAGCAAGTGGAGCAAGAAAGCAGGAGCCAGAGGAAATTCCACAGTGGCATTTCTAGCTCCAGTAGCAAAATAGCCTGGCCCTACCAGATCCCAGGTGCCATGGGCAGAAGTACAGGACCCAGGAAGGACAGCATGCCTAATGCTGCTTGCCTCTGCATTCAGTGCTGGGTCCAAGAGCAGGAAATGGCACCTTCTCCAGGAAGCTTTCTCCTGCCACCTTCTCAGGCCCCTTCAGTCCTGTGGATTCTTGCTCAGGGCCTGTAGGCCCACAATTGGGTCTCCTATACCCTAACTCAGTGAGTTAGGCACAGCCACTGCACTTGCCTCAAAGCTTTACTCTCTGTACTCTATGCCCGTGTTCACTCAGCCTGTAGGCCTCTGCAGACCAGGACAGAGTGGACCCCTGCTGCCTCTCCAGCACTGCTGAGCTAGGGAAGTCTTCTGCTGTGGGTAATTAATGTCCCTGTGTTCTCTCTTTCTCTTCTGCCATTCCCAAGGGCAGCCCCTATTCTGATCCTATTTCCAGAAATAATAATGGGTGATTTCTATAAATCAAAACCATTTTCCATATAATATTTTTGAATTCTATGAGAGCCCTGGAAGATGAGTGTTAAGCGTCTTCACTTAGCAGACGCAGAAAGTGAAGCCAAGAAAGGTAAAGATACACCCAAATCACACAGCCAGTGCACTAAGCAGCAATGTTAGACTTCAGCCCACGTGACCTTGACCCTAAAGGCCAGGTTCTCTCTGGAGCCCAGCTGCCTGTCCCACTCACACCCACCCAGGCCCTGATCCCTCCTCCCACTGTGCACTGTGCGACAGTACTTGTTCAGCCATCCACAGAGCCTGTCCTCCTGCTGGTCCAATGTTCCAGGCAAGCTGTCCACTTCTCAGTGAGTTATGCCTGGTCCTGGGCAGGCTGCTGGGACAGCTGTACTGCTGTCCCTGATAGCTTGCAGGGGTCCATGTGCTCTATGACCACCAGCTGCCTATTTACTGTTTCTTCTTTCTTGCTGAGGAGCCTGGAGCACCGGCTCTGGACACAAACCTAACTTCATACTGCAGGTCCCATGGCCAAGTCCCTTTCTAAGCTCCATGCCCTCCTTCCTGGGTGAGCATCACACACCATTTTCTGTATCACTCAAGCCTGCCAAGCCTCTATTGCTGGACACATGGACAGTGGGATGGGAGGCCAGCACTGGCTGCTGGGGTACAATTTGTTGTTTTGCAAACACAGAAGAGGCTGGTGGGCCAGCATGGGGAAGTCAAGCTGAGGGGGACCAGATAAACACCGCCCTGGGCTTCATCACTCCATACCTGCCCCACCAGACCTAGGATGATAACCAGGCTGCTGCTGCAGCCCAGTGTCTGAAAGCAAAAACCCCCCTTCTTCTGCCTTTCTAGTAAAGAGCCCAGGTCAGAGACAATAGGCCCAGAAGCTGGGTTTCAGTCAGGAGGCCCAAGAGCAGGCAGGATATGCAGGAAGGGGTCCCCTCCATAGGTCTCCACTGTCCTTTTCCACTGGCTCAGGTCTGAGGCAGGAGGGGGCACACCAGCAGTTCTTCGTTCATTCAGAGCCAGGGCAGTAAAGGGAACCCGTGCCAGGTGTACCCTCCAATGCTGGGCAAAGGTACTCTCCTCCTCAAGGCTCTGTCTCAGTGGCCGCAGATGAGTAGGCAAGTATTAGAACAACACAGAGTCAAGGGGGTCGGTCCCCTTAAAGGAAAGCATGGGGAGAGGAGGCAGCTGGCCTCAGAGAATCAGGGCTGCTTCCTCAATGTTCAGGACAAGTGAACTAAATGAAAGAGAGGTAGGAAGTGAGAAGGGTTACGCTATTCTGGGAATAGAAGCAAAAGGTACAAAAAGAACTGGAAGGTTATAAAACAATACAATAATGTGGTCTGGTACAGGATGGAGGATAATTCAGCAGAAGCCAAAACAAGGGAGAAAATAAGGAAGGGCAGATCAGCAGGGGTACTGAGGGTAGGGCTCTTCCACTCTGGGTTGGAGGCCCTTGTGTCTCCGAGCTGGAGCTGCCCTGGGAAGCAGGAGGCTTGGACCTGTCCTGCCTGCCTATCACCATGGAATGCAGGGCTCTGTGAAGCCTCTTCCTCTCTAAGCCCAACTCCCCACTTGAACACATGGCTACTACCCCAGGTACCCTCCATGGGCCAGGCCAGCCTGGCGTGTCTGTAACCTCCACAGAGCTCCACACATTTCCTACTTTGTGACAGGGAACACCTCCATCCTCATGGGGAAAATCCTCCCGAGCATGGCTGCTCCTCTTTTCTCCATCCTCAGAGGAGGACCAGACGTTGGCTGCTGCCTCCATCCTTTCTCACCTGGTCCTTGATGATCTGCATGTTGCTAAATCCAATCAAAATATTCCAATCTTTTCTTGCATGACCACTCAGCTGTGTTGAACTTGGCTAACCACTCATCCACCCCAAATTTTGTATGGTTCTATTAGTCTTCAACACTTCTCTGTCACAGCAGGTCCCTTCATCCTACTGCTCCTCAGTCTACTGGCCCAAGATCCCCAGACAGCTCTACAGGACGACCCCAAACCTCATCACCCACACATACCTAGGCACTCCTTTGTCCTGGCCAGGAGGAGGCACACCAAGGGTCTTTCAAAACCTGGAAAGCTTCCCTACAAGCCAGAGCATGAGTCTGTCCTACCTTGGCAGGTAGAAAAACCACTGAGGACAGGGACAGCCAAGGCCAGAGCCAAGTAGGGTCAGTGAGGTTCGCTATAAATGGGCTAAAGTTATATGTGAGACTCCCAAGTTCCCCCTCATAGCACAGCTTTTCGCATTAATGATAGTTACTGATTACATCACCCACCTGTTCACCACAGCTGTGTGTTTAATGTGGCCCCTACCAGAATTTAAGCTCCAACAGAACAGGGATCTTTGTTAGGTTCTACGTTGGATGCCCAGCCCCCTAGAACAATATCTGGCCCACACTAAGTGCTCAGTGAATGCTTTTTATTTTTTTTTTTTAACATTTATTTATGTGTGTGTGTGTGTGTGTGTGTGTGTGTGTGGCCAGCTCAGCCCACCAGGGGGTGGGCCTGGCTGGCATGTGGTGCTGGGGGATTGAACCATGGTCCCTGTGCTTTGCTGAGCTTGTTCTAAGTAGGTGCTTTAGACCACTGAGCCATCTCACCAGCCCAGTGAATGCTTTTTAAATGTACTGAAAAAAGAAAAAAGTGCCATGCTACTGAAGTACCTGCATATTAAACAGTCCACTGCAGTGCAGCAGCCTCCCAAGCCTGGCAGTTCTATTGCTAAGCCTCTAGGGAAACCTCCCAGGTTCAAAGGCTTTAGCCTCCATCCTAGAGCCTGAGTCCTAGAACCATGTATAAGAGCTATAGGTCCTGCTGAGTGATCTGGGAGCATGGGGCCCCCTATGGCGGCAACACCTTACTCTGTCCTCAACCTACCTGGTAACAACTGCCCAGCCTGAACTACCACAGCAGGAGGACTCTGCTGGACCTGCCCCAAACAAAAAACAGGATGCCGAAGAAAGAGGCCCTACAATGAGGCTGAGCAGGAGAGGAAGAATGGAAATCCTAAGGGAGAACCCTTCTCTCCAACAGCCCCCCAACTCTGCCCTCAGGTGGCCTGGCTCCCACCTCAGGAGACCAGCTGAGTCCTGAGACACCCCCAACTCCAGAGGAGGCAGGTGCTTGCTGGACCTTAAGGTCCCGAATCTCAGGCCTAGAAGCACAAAGTGCAAACAGAGTCCAGGCCCCTTTGTAAAACTTTTATTTAGAAATCTTCCCCATATAACCTTATATATGTACACACATCATCATCAACACATGGGTTTGCTCGCTCAGGACTTGCATGCCCATTGTGTTGGCCTCGGGGCATACAAAGGTCAAGGTACCCAGAGCAGTTACTTCTCATCTGCAGAAAAATGCAGAGACCAATGCAATTCATCACGTACAGTACGACATTGACGCAAAGTGCCGGGCCCACTCACAGAAACTGCGCTATGTACATGGCCAGGGCGGCCTCGCATCAGGGTTGGTACCACTGAAATCACAAGTACAACTAGATCCGCCCAGGAGGCCACAGCGTTATTGGCTGGCTGCAGATGCCCTTTGTTTTATTTTTGGAAAAGGATAAAGGTTGTACCATCTTGTCATTTGCCACTACAAATAAAATAATATGAATTCTTCTTAAGAGATGGGATTCCTTCCTCACTCATTTTTGTTCTCCTCAGAAAAGGTTATTGCCTTTGTACATTCTCCCTCTTGTACAGATTCTGCAAATATTATTTTTGGGACATTGCCATGTCTTCATGGGCAAGGAGAAGCCAAAGAAAGGCTCAGAGCAGGAGTTATGGGAGGCGAGAACAGGAATTAGGAATCTTGTTCAGTTTTTTCAAAGATCTAAAGCTCCTTCCCTCCCTATCTTGGCCCTGGGGTAGAAGTTGATACCTTCTACAGTCTGCCCAGGTCCCCACCTCTTTCCTACTCTCACATCTCTCTCTCCTTGCAGTGAGACAGAAACTAAGACAGCCTGGAGAAACGAGGAGAACCTACATGACGCAGGCAAAAGTAGTTTACAACCTGAATCACCCAAATACCAAGTGCCCATGGCCGGAAACCTTTCTGTGGGATTGGTACTGAAGGCAATAGAGCCTTGTTTCTTCTTCTTGGAAGGGAGGAAGGTCGGGGTTTGAATCCATGACCTGACATGCTAGGCAAGTGCTCTGGCCCCTGAGCTACACCCACAGCCCGCCAAAGAACTCAGTGTGTTTTCAAAAAACACTTCCACATTCACAGCTGATGCCCTAAGTGACTGGCTAAGCCAGGGTATTTATGAGATTCTGACACTCAGGAGGATAGCTATCCCCAGAACACTGCAGAAAAGGAAACCAGAAGCTACATCCTGAGAGAAATGTGTGACCCATCTCAGAAATCCCACCCATTTGGGAGTGAGGGTATAGCTCAGCAGCACAGCACCTGCCTGGCAAGCTCGAGGCCCTGAGTTTGATTCCCGGTACCAAAAAAAGCAAAGAACAGAAGCCATCCATTCATGTGTAACTTCTCTTCATTGCTAAATCAAGTTAATCGATTTAGGAGCCTAACACAGCCTTAAAGTCATGGACTGTTGCTCCATGTGTTGTGTTGTTCTAGTTGCTCCATGTTTACAAGCATGAGACTCCTCACAGTATCTCCCAAGCCATGCAATCAACCCTCACATTTGTCTTGGGGGTCTGAAATGAGCAGGAGAGAGCATTTCAGTGGTTCCAATACTCTCACCATGCCCAAGAAACAAACCTCACAACTCAGAAGGAAGGGGAGGGAAGCGAGGACCCCCTCCTTGTTTGCACAGGGTCGTACTCAAAGCAACTCCAGGGCCGAAGCTCAGAACATGATGGGCTTCTGCATGATAGGATGGGGCCATCAACCAGTTTCCCTCTGACCTCAAGAGCCTTGTAGGAGGGTAGAACTTAGATACAATGGCAGACACACACAGCTTCTGTGAGGCTATATGGGGCCAGAATGCATCTCAGGCAGGCCGAGCTTTAAAAAAACTATGTCCCAGGCTGGACATAGTAGTACACACCTCTGATCCTAACTTTTGGGAGACTGAGGCAGGAAGATTGCCATGAGTTTGAGGCTAGCCTGGGCTACAAAGCAAAGCTCCATCAGAAAGAAAGAAAGAAAGAAAGAAAGAAAGAAAGAAAGAAAGAAAGAAAGAAAGAAAGAAAGAAAGAATTGACAGAGCAAACAGACAGTGATCCACACTACAAAAGATTCACTTTACAAAAGGGCTTTCGGTAGTTATTTCTGTAAAAGATAAAGAAGAAGGATTTGATTTATACAAATTTCATGTACAGCTCTCAGAATGCGCCTTGCTATTGAATCAAACCAGCCTCCTAGACCATATACAACCCTGACACTGAAAGTTGCAGCAGAAGGGTGCTTAAGGTTCTGTGAAGTGAATGTGCATGTTTGGGTCGTAGCCAGGGCCTAGCCTCTGATTGTATTCCCCAATCACTTCTAAAAGTGGGCCTGTGTCCTGGGTCTTATCGAGACCTAAAGATTTCACCAATAACAGAAGTCAAGCAGAAATTCCAAATACAAAAAAAAAAAAAAAGTCATAGGACAGTTTGTGCTCAGTTCAGAAGAAAAACCAGACCTTCAGCAGACAGACACAGCGTGGCACCTTGGAGAACACATACAATCTCGCATCTCAGCACCAACAGGTGCCCATGAGCACACTGGCGTTTACTCAACGACATGAACAGTGACTATAGGAGTTGAAGCTCATATGCCCAAAATATTTCTTGCTCAACTTCTAATATCATTTTCCCTTTTTCTGCCTTCATACAAAACCCAGCAAGGCATTTTCAAGGCTGTACTCTCAGTCCCAACAGCCCCAGGACAAGAAGGCAAGCCTCAGTATGCAGAAAGTAGAGCTCTGATCTCCAGGTAAAAAGGAAGAGCTCCTGGGTTTTCTAACTCTCTGGCCCAGGTGAAAGCAGTCTGTCCACTGGCCATGTTCTTCCACCAGGCCCTGAAGAAGGCACCTCGAGGCTTAGGAGTTCCCGCAGCAGCTGGCAAGCTGGATGGACCAACATGGGCCTGGTTGAAGACAAGGCTGAAGAAATGGGCAGCCACTGGGTACCTACGTATTTGGACAGAAGCAGCCACTATAGCCACCCCAGCCATTCAGGAGGGGCTAAAGGCAAGGCAGAGGCTGCTGGATGCCTCAGGTGACAGCTGACAACCCCAGATCCTGGCAAAGACGGAGTTCCTAAACTTCAGGCCAAAAGCAATGACACTTAAGCCTCTAACTTGGGAACTCTCAGGGGCTGTGGGGAGAAGGAAAACCGTGCCATCTTCAGAAAAAGTACCTACTACTTTGCTCCATTTTCCTGTTCTCCTACTGAGGCAGGAATCAGAATATCCTACTGAGCAGGGATAGCGAGGCCTGAGAGACAGTTAGGGCACCCCAAAGTTCAGACTTCAAGGGAAGTTCATCAAAAATCCATTGCCCTGCTTCTCCCCCTCCCTACCCTGACACCCACTATCCCAGTGGCCTAGGGATTTCCTCTTGGCCGGTCCTGGCTGGCCCCAGACCCATCACCGGGGGCCGGCCCCATCAGTGGCGGGCAGTAGGGCAGGATGGAGGCTGTGAGCCGTGTGTTTGGGTGCCGGCTCCTCTGTGTAGCTGTCCGGGCTGGCCGCCCCATCCAGGGAGCTGCCACAGCTGGAGTTGGGGGAAAGCACATCCTGCAGGAGGTCATCAGGGGGTGCACCACCCCCGGCCCCACCCCCACCAGCCCCTACCACGGGGTCTTTGCCGGGCTTGGCCCGTTGGGTGCCCTCTTCCTCTTGGTCATTGAGCAGCTTGGCCAAGAAATTGATGTACTTCATTGCCAGGCGGAGGATCTCATTCTTGCTGAGCTTCTTGTCTGGGGGATGTGTGGGAATCAGCTTGCGCAGCTCAGCAAATGCCCCATTCACGTTCTGCTGCCTCCATCGCTCCCGGCTGTTGGTGAAGATCCGCCGCACAACTTTTGTGTGGGGACCTGGAGGATGGAGAACACAGGTCAGGAGAATGGCCTGAGATTCCCCAGCAGACATTCCATCCACTGGGATACTGGGAAGACCCTTCCTTTACTCAAGGGACATTTACTCAGACTCTAAACCCAAGTAACCTTCTGTCAACCCTCCTCACTACCCCAGTTAAACCCCACCTATGGCCCTGCTATCCCTTCATCTCTACCACTCTTGTACATTGTGTGTATGGCTCTTCCCAGGGCTGTGTGACATTATGTGACAGCATGTCCAGGGCTATAGATTATCCATTCAGACAGTCACTCATGCCAAGAGGCCTTGATGTGCTATGTAGGAAGACAAACCAGGTGCTCTGGCTATGGCTCTTTTTTTTTTTTTTTTTCTTTTCTTTTCTTTTTTTGGCTATGGCTCTTGACTAGTACTACCTGGACAAGCACTCCTGGGGGACACCCTTAGCAGCCTGTGCCTCCCTACTTCCTCTGCCAATGGGCAGAATACTAGTAAACTATGACTAGTAGTTACTAGTACTAGTAAACTATTGGACCCATGATAGTTACATGGGTCCAATGCCTCCCATGGGTAAAGGACTGAAGACAATGACTATCTCCACTTAAATGTTCAATAAATTATCTGTCATTGATGTTTTACTAAAAAACCCATGGACTATGCCAGGCACTAAGTAATAATGGTGACTAAAACACAATGGGTCCCTGCCTTCATGGAGATTACTTTTTTTTTTGGTGGAACTGGGGATTGAACTCAGGCCCTTGTGCACTTATTCTACTGAGCCATCTCCCTGCTGCGCCCCCCCCACCCCGAGATTACATTTTAATGAGGATGAGAGGTAAAGAACAAAAAATGGAACCAAAAAGAGAAAGGAGCTACAACACAGCTAATCTGGCCAGTGAAGACCTTTCTGAGGATGAGACATTCATAAGGTCAAAACTTAAGGTTAAAGCAACTCTGGCCACGCACAGGGAGGGAAGAAGAGGGGTGTTCATGCAGAAAGTATGGATGTGCAAAGACTCTGAGGAACCGGGCAAAGCTAGCCCAGGTGCGAGGGAAGAGTTGGCAGGGTCCTTTCCCAATAACTACTGGATGCAGACCCCAGATCTTGGCGTGGGAGGAAAGGGAAAAGGGAAGGAAAGGAGAGGAGAAGAGAGGAGAGGAGAGGACAGGACAGGACCAAGACTGTATGTATTCCAGTCCCACTGCTCATTTTACAGCTAAGGAGACAACACAGGACAGAGACAAGCCTTGCCTCAGTGGTCAGTCTAGAGCCCAGGTCATCTGTGCTGATGCCTGATGCTTTACGGTCCCCCTTTCCTGTCTCGAATGCATACTCACACACACCCTATGTTTTCCCAGTGAGGATCACTCATTCCCTGCCCTGCTTCTGAACCTGTCTTTCCAAACCCTACAGGCCCCAGTCCAGCAGACTCTGCCAACGCCCAGGCCCAGGCTGAGAAAAACACGACACACACTGCACAGCTCTACTCTGGGCTCTTTCAGAGAAACAACATGCCACTCTCAGGCCTGCAGGTCCCTAGTAAAGACCAGTCCTGTCCCAAGGTGGTGCTGGTGAGCTCACAGAACTCTTAATGAAGGAAGAGACACTACAACTGCTGTTCCAGGGACAGCCAGGCAGGCTCTGGGAGCGAGCAGGGTAGAGTGCCAAGGACAGAGTCCACAGTGTAAGGTTACAGTAGGAGAATGGGCCAGGACTCAGCTGTGGGATTTTAAGCAAGCTACTTAATCTCTCTGAGCCTCAATTTACTCATCTATGAAAGAAACAATACTGATCTCACAGGCTTGTGGGCACACAAAGCCCATGGCACATAGTAAGTGATCAGCAAGTGGCAGCAATTAATTATTGCTGGGGTTGGGGAGATGGCTCAGTGGAATAAGCGCTTCCCTGGCAAGCACAAGGGCCTGAGTTCAATCCTCGGTTTCACAAAAAAAAAAAAAAAAATATTGCTATCACCCACCCACCCTGCCCCACCCCCAAAAAGATGTCTGAGGCCTGCTAGCAATGTGCTGGGTCCTAGAAGTATGGTCATGAATGAGACACACAAAATCCCCATGTTAAGGAGACCCCAGTCTTCTGCGGATAGGTCTACTTTCCTGAAAGCCCTATGTACTTCCTGACAGGGAGGGAAAGGAGGAATGAGAGAACCTATTGCAGTCCAGATCCTACAACCACTTTACTTCATGGCATTTTCTCAGCAATCTAAGAGGAAGCTGTTGTTCTCTCCATTTTACACATAAAGAAACTATAGCCCAGAAAAAAATTGAGCAACAGGAATCCACATCAAGCCCTGACTCAGGACTGGTGATGTAGCTCAGTAGCAAACAGTAGCAAAATGCTTGCATGAGGCCCTGGGTTCAATCCAAGCCCCATTAAAAAAAAAAAAAAAAAAAAAAAAAAAAAAACCCTCTTGACTCTGGAGGGTGGTTTGTTTCACTTCTGTGGTCTCCTGAGTTCTACACCCTACTTTTTCCCTTTCACCTACCTGTCTGCCTATTCCCCTCTGCCTCCACCCAACAGGACCTCTCCTCCTCTTTCTTAGTCTGTCCATTCTCTGATGTCTCCCTCTCTGGCTCTGTGCAGGCACTCAGAATGTACACACACAATACATTTATGGGCAATGGCCTTCCTGCATTCCCCTCTGGGCCCTCCTGTTCTGTCATTATCTCTGCCTCTCCCCTGGGAAACTCCTGGGCTGCTCCCATTACACACACCTCCCCTGGGCAGTAGAACCCTCTCTCAGCAGCAACCTGGTTGCTAGACTCACCCCTGAAGCTCAGCCTACATATTCAACTCTTCCACCAGCTCCCACCATTTGGCCCAGCCCTCCGGAGACCTCAGTGTGTGTCTACAGGAGCCACAGGATCTGCTGCTATCCCTCAGCTCTGGAGAGACTGTTCTGCTCCGGTGCTGAGCCTAGCAGGTTAACTCTGGGAGGCGGAGAGGGGTCCCTAGATCTCCCATCCTTCCAACCCTTGCTGGAAAGCTCTGGGACCAAGAATATTTAAATACTGTAGTCCTCAGAGTAGCTATGCTGAGTCCCCTGTGTAGGAATCAAGGGATCTGGGTAAAATCTATAATGATGGGAAGAACTCTAGGTCTCAATACAGATAGGGAACAGGTGGTAAGAACTCCTCCCCAAGTAGGACCTAGGAAGGGACCCCCGAAGGTGCAGTGCCAGATTCTATAAAACAGGAGGATTGGTTCTGGGATACCTGAAAGTGGCTGGAGCCCATTGCTGCCTCTCTTGCAATGCCTGCCAGAGTGTAGCAAAGGGTTCTGTAACAGGGACTGGAGCTGACTCCACAGCTTCCGGCTCAGTGCCACTGTGTGTCCCTCCCTCTTCACATTCTCTCTTCCCAGGACTGTGTGACCCTCTCAGCCCTGCCCAGCTCCTATTCAACGTAAAGAGCTTTGACATTTTAGCTCCAAAGTGGTCTGCTCACCATGTGAGATGCTGGCCCCTTCAGATGTCCCCACCTCCAGAGGTAGGAGACTGAGGTTCTGAGGTTCTGGAGGGAGACTCACCATCTGTAATCTCCATCTCATAGGGAGAGGGTCTCCTCTTCACTCGGTTGTTAGTGGCAAACATAGGGAAGGCATCAGGCTCCCCAAAGAACCCACTGCGGAGGGAGCAGGCAGATCACAAGATCATATATGGGGCACAGAGGGCAAAGGGACATCTTAGGGACCCTCTTGCATGTCTTGAGCACCCCACCCCTGGAAGGCAACCCTACTCTCTTCACAATTAAACTTGATACAAAGGCGCGCACACACACACCAGACACTACACTTTACTCCCCCACAGGCTAGCACGCAATCTATACAGATACCTCCACCCTCAAACAGGTGCCTTCGTATGCAACTCTGGCACCAAGGGCCACATGCCTCTTCACCTCCCCATTCACCCCAGGACTTTCCTATAGGCTCACCCCAACAGCTTTCCCACAGCTTCCTCCCTGCCTGTCTCACACTCTCTTTGCCTCACCTTCCCTGCCCCATCCAGCTTCCTGCACACCACCCATACCAGGGGCTAGGTAGGGAAGCCATGACCGACAGGTAGGACCACCCCATCCCACACAGGCTCAGTAGAGAGCGGCCGCCTCAGCCTCTACTCCTGCGCCTGTCCACTTGGGGCTGCAGCTTCCAGAACACTTTCATATCCCCTCGGCAAACACTCCTGTGTGCGCAGCTGAGCCGGAGGCCCACACCCGGGGACCCCAAGTCTCCCACCACTCCGCACACAGTGCAGCACACTCTTGTCCTTCGGTTGCCTAAGTAAGCCTCGCGTCCTTCCTCCCTCGCGGGCTGCCCGCCGCCCCGCAGGGCACTCACCTGCCCAGAGAGGCCAGCGGCTGGCCCAGGCTGTAGAGCAGCGCGCGGCCGGGGCCGGCGGGGGCCGCCAGCGCGGGAGGGCTCAGCTGCACCATGCGGCCGTCGCCAGGCAGCTCGGCCGGGGTCGAGGCCGGAGCGGGGGCCGGGGCGGGGCCGGGCGGTCTGCACAGCTCGGTGGTGGGCACCCGAAGGCGCGCTTCGACCGCTGCCGCTTCGCGGCCCTTTAAGTCCCTGGTGGCACCGCCCCCACCGGCAGGGCCGCCCCCCGGCCCGGTGCGCGCTCCCAGCTCCAGGACCGGGGGCTCCGCTGGGGCCGCGCGGCTCGTCTCCTTGGCGACGCCGTTCAGCAGGACCAGATGCGGGGGGGCCATGCGGGCCTCGGCCGCCTCCCGGCCCTCGAGCGGGGGGTCACTGCGGGCCGCCTCGCCGGGCGGCCGCTCGGTCATCCTGCGGGCAGATGGACAGACAAGCGAACGCCAGCTCAGACAGCCGCCCCCGGCCCACAGCGGAGCGGACTCCAGCGCCCTTGCTCGAGAAGCGGCCGCGAACCCCAGCGCCACGTGGACTGCACCTCCACCCTCGGGGCCAGAAGGCCGGCTGCCCCCGCGTCGGAGCGAGAGGGGGCCCCTCTGGCCTAGGGAAAGGACGCGGTGTATCGGGGGCTTGGGGACTTAGCACCGAGAGGACAGATATAGAGAAAGAAGGCAGAAACATCGGAAGAAAAGAAATAGGGCCAGCGAGAGAAAAACCGAATAAAAGGAGGAAGGAAATGCAAAGAGGAGAGAAAGAAAGTTACCCAGACCCCTTTAGCCACAAGGGAAGAGGAGGGATCAACCCCGGACCGTGCTCTTCCCGCCCCTACCCTCCTGTTTTTGCTTTTGGCGGGGAATCAGTCAGAAAGGGGTGGGGTGGTTTTGGAACCGCCTTTCACCTCTCAGCAATACCCCTAACCTACCCGCTCGCACAGACACTCTACACACATCACCCAGAAACCTGGTAGAGGTGGAAATAGGGAGTGCGAGCTACAGGGACTTGGGTCCACTCAGCCAGAGCTGGCAGAAAATAATCCAAAGGAACCAGCCCCACCCGCCCCCCACACACAAAATTCAACAGCGCTGACGGATGGCTAACTAAAGGTGCTAAGCACATCCACCTGGTATTTATTCTGTGCACTGCTGGTTTACTTCTCAGACACAAGAGAGATTACCAAGGAAAGACGCTGATCCTGGCACCACCACCCTGACTTCACGAAATTCTTGCTTAGACTGAGAAGTGAGGCCAGGTCTCTAAGAAAGGCCTGGCTGAGGCAATATGGAGTCCAGACGTTCAGAGTGTTTCTGAGGACATGGGGTCTGGCCTCTCTTCCAAAATCAGAAAGAGGTGCAATAGTAAGGGTCCTAAATTCTTCCAGCACACACACACACACACACACACACACACACACCTTGGTTTATAGAACTCTGACTCACTTAACTGTGCTATTCATATATATATATATATACACACACACACACACACACACTGGAGCCTTCCTCCTCCTGCACAACCGTATTCCATGAGGACCTCGAACATTTGCTGAGGTTCCCCCACCACCTGGCCCCATTCACATGGAGATTCCCCCCAAAACACCCAAGAGTAAAACCATGAGACGTATTCAGAGCTCGAGGAAGCTTGTGAGTTGTTTTAATAAAGATACAATGAACTCAACAGGCTTCATACATTATTATTAATAAGGGTCTTACTCCAGAATTACATAATTGGCGTATTTCGAAGTAGAAGAGATTCACTTAAGCTTGAGGGCAAGTCCATCTAATCAATTCATTGAAGTCATTGGGCTCCCATTCTACCACTGCAACCCTCTGGGTGAGAGTCCATCTTGGAACCATGCCTTTCACCCCAGAAGGGAGACGAGGCTCCTCCACCTCCTACACAACACAGCTCCATTGCCACCACACCACACCATGCAGAGAACACAGACTCAGACTGTACACTGTCTGGGCCTGCAGCCCTCGGACCACCTGGAAATGATGCCTCATTGGAAGCAAGTTTATAATTGTAGCAGAGACAAAAGGTCTGAATCCACAAAATACGACAACCTTGACACCCAGGCCACTGGAAATGAATGCCAAGTGCACCAGCAATCTTAGTCTCCCTTCAGCTCCTGAAATGCACCACTAACATACCAGGCCCCGCTGAAATATAGGGCTGTGCTGGCTCCCCACTTCTCTGTTGCCACCAGCAGTATGTAACCAAGCCCAGGCACCTCAGCCTAGGTTCTAAGTGAGAGACAATGTGCACTGCAATGCCAATGGGGCTCAAGCTTCACTATGCCACATGTACCTTCTGATTAATTCCACCCCAGTTGCAGAGGCAGGTTCCCAACAGGCAAAGGAAATACATAAACCAGAGTCCCAAAATGGCCTCTCCAGATTCCTGTAAATATCCAAGGTGAGAAATACAGATTGGCTGTCCAGGGGACTATGGCAGACATCTCCCTTCCTGCCTCAGGAAAATCCAGCTCACCCTTCTGAGCCTCAGATGGACCTGACCACCGGTCCATGCCAGGAGGAAGCCACCAGAGTATTCAAAAGCACCTGTGGTTGTCAAGGGATTAAACTGTGTCTCTTAATTTCAGTTAAATTTCCTGAAAGGAAAGCCTGAATATAGTTTTTATCTACTGTGTTTGTTTTAATTGGAGGAGGATGGAGAAGGGGTAAGATCTAGGACTGACTGGCATGGGACTAGAATATTTATGCCACTGTAATTCCTCTCTGTGCAGCACAGTCCCTGCTTGCTGCCCTCAACACTTCCGTTGCCCTGGGCTGGACAGGTTCGGGGTGTGCTGAAGGAGATCTGGGAGTGCTTCCTCCGGCTAGGCAACGTCTCCAGCAGTTCTCCTTCCTCTGGTACTGAGGATTTCTTAGGTGAAGCAGAGTCTAAGCCTCTGTTTTAGAGCTAGCCTTGGGTCCCTCTTACCTTCCCACCACACACACACCGCAGGAGACTCTGCGGGAACCCCAAAATTGCACCAAACCAATCCCCACTGATCTGTGCTCTATCCCTGCACTGACTTGGAGGAGTGTTCTAGTGCAACTCGTCCTAGGCCCCAGGCCCACCCAAGCAAGAGCTCTGTGCTGGCCTGGACGACCTCGGCCTTCTTTCTGTTGAACTCCAAGCACAACTTGCACTACCCGGATACAGCCGCAACAAAGTTCCCGGCCTTGAGCAACGTCCACAGATCCAGACCGATGGGAATGGGAGCCGCAGGAGGACCTACGGCAGTCCAACCCTCTGTTTCACCAAAGGCCGGAAAAAGGAAAGGGCCCTGTTGGGGCCGTAGGCAGCTAAAGTCAGTCTGAGGTGGGATTCGCAACCTTCGGATGACCCTCTCTTCCCCTACCCTCAGTCTGAGATTGGGCTCTCTCCATCCACAGCCCCACCCCCACCCCAGCCAGGAACCCCAAAGACTTCCTGGACACCCTTCTCACCACATCACCGTTCACGTACTCACCTCGGGCATAGTTAGAGAGACCAGCCCCTTGAAATAGGACCTCCACTCTTCCAACAGGGAGGGGTGAGGGGCAGCTAGGTTCTCTGCTTTCTGAGCCCCTCTCACAGCCGAGAGGCCAGCAGTTAGGCTGCGGTGTGGTCCTGGGCGATCTGCCGCGCCCAAACCGAGTTTCCAGGAAAGATGGGGGTGGAGAGAAAGAGGGAGGGCGAAAGGGAGGGAGAGAGAGAAATGAGGGTCAATGTCTGGGAATTACCTCGTGTCCCCCCGCTGACCAGCCCAGGGAGCTGCGGACCGCTTTCTACCCCCATCCTGCAGGTGATCAGAGACTCGGCTTCACCTCGTCCGTGTAAAAATGAACACTACACCTGACCAATCAGAAATAACTTCGGTCCCACAACAACCCCTCCCTGCAAGCTGCCCAGAATATTTTTGAACCCTGCAACTGGAATCGATGTGATTCAAGGCGGCCGTTTGTTTTCCCAAAACGGACGTTGTCTGCGCTGTTTTCTCCACAACCTGAACCAGGCCCCAACAGCCGCCACAGCGCCAGAGCCAAGGGGTCGACCCCAGCTTGAGGCGGGAGCGTGGGGGATGAGTCGGGAAAGGTGGGTGCCATCTCCAGGCCCTAATCAGCGCTACAGAACCTCGGAGGCCCCCCAACCTCCGCCGCCCTGTCTAGAACCCCCATCTACCCACCTCGAACCCAAAGCGAAACCAGAACCTGATTCTCCAAGGATTGTACTTCTCTGCGGGAATGGGGAGGGGTGACAAAATCTATTCAGGTCCTTTCTTTTTTGCCTATTGACAGAAAGAAGGAAAGAAAGAAAATGCAGAGAACAGCGGAAGAGAGAAAGAAATGAAGAAATCCCTTACCTTTACTACCCGTACAAAATGATTTTCGATTTTTCGGGCTTAAATAGGCAGAATAAGGAGGAATGCTAAAGCTAATAGTTTGTTGCGGCCATAATCAAGGGACAGAGGGTAAAAACTGCTCCCGAGGTGTAGCTGGTTTAGTTGTTCCCACCCCCTCCGGTGGGTTTTAATTTGGTGGGGTTTTTTTGCCTAAAAGTCCAGTTTCTGATCGCACATCGAAGTCTTGAATTAATTGCGAAGCCTTCCTTCCTTGGACTGCGGCTTTTGTGGAAATATAGGAATAATTTTCCCTAGGCTTCAACCCAGTGAGGGAGGAGGTTTTTCTTTCTCTTCTAATCCAAATGGAGGGAGGGGAGAAAAGAAGGAGGGAAGCCCACTCAGGCCGGGGGTGGCGTTTGCGTAGGAAGGAGTTTCGGTCTGACCCTCTCCATTTTCTCTCCTTACCCCAAACCCAGCGCCTTAGAAAGCAGAGTAGGGGCGGGAGGGGAAGAATCCTATGCGGCTTTGTTCTCCCACCTAGGAAGCTAAAGTGACTCGCCGCTCTGTTTCGGGACGATTATTTCAATTAAAATAGGATGTTAATGATGATGGCTGTGATGGTGATGACAGGAGCTGGCAGAACAAAATCCTTTCTTCTCGAGCCCAGGCAGCGCTGACCCCTTCCCTCCAAGGAGCCCCGACTCCGCCGCGGTCACCCGTACGACCTGCGTCGGATCCGCGCGGGCTGCGGCTCCGGAGAAGGGGGTGGGACACGGTCCCTGGGGTGATCTCGAGCCCTCCACCCTTAGTGGCGCAAGGCCTGGAAAATGCGTCCATTGTCCTTACCCGGCCTCTCCCACCGCCCCCCGCGGCCGCGCGGGCGAAACTGACCAGAAATGGGAGAAGCTGAAGTGCGGTGCGGACCACAGACCCCGGCTCCCGGCTGCAAGGCGCGGGGCTGCGCGCTGCTCACCCGCGAGCTCTGCAGCGCCTCCGCTCTCCAGCGCACCCCGCAAAGGCCGCCGCGCAGCCCGGCCCCGAGCAGAGCGACGGCCGGCGGGGCTCTGACCGCCCATCCAAGCCCACAACGGCTCCCGAATACATCATAATTTGGAATAAAATGTGAAGCCCCGCTCCCCGCCCCCACGCCGACGCCCCCACCAGCGCCTCAATCTCTCGCTCGCCGCCCCCACTCCGCCCCCAGCGATTTGCAAATGCACCTCTAAAGGACACACAGGCACACAGCTCCGCGTGGACGGGACCACGCAGGGTTCAGCCGCACAGGAGGGCCGCACACAAGCACAGCCCAGCTCTGCTCCATGCGCAGACATGGTCAGCGGACCCGCGCTGTTCAACACGACACAACGAAATCGGTCAGTGCAATCGCTCACGGACACACAACCCGACACAGTCAGGATCACACAGTCCGCAAAACAACGAAACCACCCACACACAGTCAGTGCCCAGCACAGAATCCAACTCCTGTTGAAAAAAGAAATAGCGGGATGACACACATCGAGTAAAACGCAGCAGGGCCTCGAAGAGTCCCAGTCTACACACTCAAACAGTGCAGGCACCATCACACTGGGACACGCAACCAATCGCCAAAAAGACCACGCTCGGAGCAGTCGGCCTTGCCCACGGCTTGCACACACGCACTCTCACAATCCCACCGCATGCACACAACCACCAAGAAGAAATGAAAACCAACCACCGCCTCGCGCATTTCTGTATATTGCGTAAGGAAAAAGGGGAAGGAAGGAAGAGAGTCTCCGAGGCAGGAGGGGCCGCGGCGCCGAGGGCGGAGGTGTGGGTGGAAAATGCCCCCCATCGAAGGCGCCCGGAGCCGGAGCCGGGCGAGGCGTCCCCTGCGGGTGCGGGGAAAAGGAGGAAATCGTTGCGGGGTTTGGTGGAGGCGGCAGGCCGCTTCTCCTCTAGAAAAAGCACGAATGCTCACGTTTTTCCGTGGGGGGTGTGCGTGTGGCCCGGCTGAGGCCTCTGCTGGGTGCGGAGCCGGCACTCCCCCTCCCCCGTGCGCCCGCGCCCCGCGCCCGCCCGTGCGCTCCCAGCCAGCTCACGTCCCGGCCTCGTTAGCATGGGCCGAGGCGCACCGGGGCCGCGTGCACCGCCGAGATAAGGCACTGCCGCGGGTCCGCCCGCCCCCGATAAGCGCCTCGGCCATTATGGGCCAAATGATTCATTTTAATTTGGCAATTTCACCGGAGGGAGTGGAGACTGGTTGTGCGGCTCAGGGACTGGCTCCGAAATGCGCCGCGTAGAGAACCGCGCTCTGTCTAGGGTCCGAAGGGGCAACCCCATTTCTCATCCCCGCTCCCCACAACCTCCCTCACTCCCTCTGCCTTACAGACACTGTCCTTCTAGGACTCTGACCCTGACCCTTGGTCCTTGCCTCTGAAGACCACTGTGACTCCCAAGCCCGCCAGCTGCCAATCCTTCATTCATTCTCTCTTCCTAGTCCCTGACACCCAGATTTCAAGGCAGCAGTTTCCCTTATTTCTGAACACACACACACCCCCACCCTACCCCCGCAGGTTCTTTTTTGAGCTTTCATTCTTCAACCCTGGGGCCTTTCTTCTTTAAAACAGGGCCAGTGGCCTCAGCCCCAAAGGGCTCTGTTGGGGCTAACATGGTGCCAGTAGATGTAAATGTCCCTTTGCTTGATTTCAGGCTGAGCCCAGAGCCCAAGAACACCATTCACCTTTCTCTCCATCATACTTTTAATCTTGCTACTAAAACACTGTTCAGAGCACTCTACAAAAGCTACTTTATTTTTAAAAATAGTCCTGAGAAGTTGATGTTCTTAAAAAAAAAATTCCCAATTTACTGAGGCTCCAGGTGTAAACTTAGTAGTTACATTTCTAGTGAGTGATGAATCCTGACTGTAAAGGAAACAGGCCCAAGTAGTCTTCCTGGCTCAAAGAACAGCAGCCCTCAGAGCCCAGACTGGGGAGTGAAGCACTGGGCTCAGCCAGTCAGGGACCCGGACTTGTGCTGTGCAGAAACTGAGTCCAGGCCTGGGGAGATAGCTCAGCAGCATAAGTGCCTGCCTGGCTAGCACAAGGTCCTGAGTACCATCCCTGGTACCAGAAAACAAAACACCAAAGAAATGGAGTGCACACCAGTCCCCACTCCTGTGACTGGGGTTCCACCTAGTGAGTAGTTGTGTTTAGTCAGTGGTAGAATGGAAAGAACACAGGCTGTAATTGTAGTCCCTTAGCTTTGAGCCTCAGTTTCCTCATTTATAAATGATAATTTCTGTCTCACAGAGTTTTGAAGATAAATAAAATGCATTTCAAGAAAAGATGTCTGTGATAACTCAGTGGGCTAAGCGTCTACTTAGGCAAGCACAAGGACCACATGTTGAGCCGGCCAGCCCAGGGATTTGCTGAGCCGGCCAGAGTCCCAGGCATGGGGCCGCAGGCCTGTGATTCCAGCACTGGGGAGGCTGGAAACAGGAGGAGGATCACTACTAGTGATATCAAAATACATTAAAAAAGAAAGAAAAAGCAAAGATGTCTGTGTGTTATGGGGGATGGGGGTGGGGATAATGTATGGAACCTTACTCAGTTCATGGTCCAGAAAAACATCACATACATCTGCATGGGAGAGCTGGCCCTTCACTGTAGAGAAGGAAATTAATTTAAGGACAGAGATGGGATGCTGCCAAGCTTACAGTGATCCAGCAGACATGCCAGGATGCAAGCTCCACCCTTGAGTGCCCATTCCACAATTTGACTCATCCTACCAGCTACTTTATCGATGTAGTGCTTCCAGTTTGGGCTCCTGTGAAGAATCTGAGAATGGAGGGACACCCCTAGTCTGATCATAGTGAGATCCAGGTAAGGTCTGAGCCTAGAGGGTGCTCTCATTTGACCTGCTGGCCCCTCTCAGGTGAAGGCAAGGTATGGGAATTCAGTGCAGCCTGGCCTTCAGTTCCTCTTGTGCGCTCTGATGACAACCAGCCTGTCATGCGGATGCAGGCAACTTTCAGAGTCCAGAGGTGTAAGAGCCACCTGTGTCCTGAGAGAGAAGTCTAATTTCCCCACCCCAGCTCACAAAGCTCTTTCCTTTCAGGGCTACACCACTTAGTAGGAAGAGTAAGAAGCTGTGGGACTCCTGGTCACTTTGATGTCAAAAGTAGCTACCCTTCCCTAGGTAAATAGCCCAACTGAGGGCTGCTTCCCTAAGAAAATGAGGCAAGGGCTGAAGCAGAAGGGCTATAAAGGCAGGAAAGAAACAGAAAAGAGACCAGCATGGGTGGATCAAACTTGTGGACAATTAAGGATTTTTGAAACAATTTTGTTTATTTCCTTTTAAGGACAGTTGTGTCCTACATAGAAGTAGATTTGCTGTTCTAGAAGACTCTGGCTGCACTGGGGAGTAGGGGTGTGCAGGCCTGGGACCAGGTTGGGGGGATCAGCATGAGGAATGGAGGATGGAAACACATATAGGATGCAAGGTTGGATTTGATGGCCATCATGTCCTACATAGTGGGTTCAAAACCAGGTGAAACTGCATAGCCATACCCCCCATCTCAGGAAATTTAAACAAACGAATGACTAAAGCTGTGTTTGTAAGAACTAGGTTTGGGGGTAGGGATTAGGGTGTGTGTGTGTGTGTGTGTGTGTGTGTGTGTGTGTGTTTTCAGAGCTGGGAACTAAATCCAGGGCCTTACCTTTTATACCACTCAGCTGGCTCCACCCTCTCCACACACACATTTGGTTTTGAATTCCTTGAATTTAGATGCCTTTGAGGCGCCGGACCCATTGTTGTGCTGGGCCTGCAATGACCCTGCCCTATGCCTCTGAGGGCTGTGGCGAAGGAGTGGGGGACCCGTGGGAAGGCCTTTGTCCAACCCAGGAGAGGGTGGTGCCACCGAGGGTGGGCAAGCTCCTCTGTCTTCGAAGCTCCGGCTCCTGCTGTTCTAGCAGCTACCAGATCTTGTCCCCAAACCCTGCGCAAGGCTGGGGGCTCGTGACGTGTACATCTCCCCACCCCTGCTTCCGACAGTGGGTGGAAAACCGGAAACTGAGCGCTAGCGGGGCGCCGCCCGAAATAGCATCTGGTGCCTGTTGGTCAGCGCGTCGTCCAGAGAGTCCGCTAGCAAGTGAACCGGCTGAGCCAGGAAACGCCACCCCCACCGCGCCCCTGCGAGCCGGCCTCGGGCCGGCAGGAAGCCGGGAGCCCCGGCTGGGGGTGCGGGGCTGGCGCGTCTTGAGTCTGGGCCCGGCCGCGGGCGAGGGGCAGGACTCAGAGCTGGGCTTCCACTGAGGCCACTGCGTCTCACCACTACTGTCACAGCCTGGCGTCCCCACACTGGAACTGAATCCAGGGCTTTTCGCTTTTTCTAGTGTTGCTGCCTACCCTGGCTCCCGGATCTGACAATCTCTAAACTTTCCCCCCTGAGTTTGCTTGTAAAAGGACTGGGTTTGCTGCAATCTGATGGGCAAATGTATATTGAGGTTACCATGTGCCATGTACCGTCGGAAGCACTCTTAAGTATCAATTCAGTTGATCCTAACAACCCAAAGAAGTAGGGTTCCTAGGCTCCCCATTTCTTTCATTTCTTCTTCTTCTTCTTCTTCTTCTTCTTCTTCTTCTTCTTCTTCTTCTTCTTCTTCTTCTTC